TGTGGATATTGGTCTTCTTTAGGATGCGAATGTGGTGGAGTTTATGGGAGAACGTAATTTGAAGCAGGTAGGGCTCCTGTTTCGTGTCTAGGAGGCTCGTGGTAGTTGCATACTGTTAACTGAACGTGATGTGTGATAGGTTCAAGTCAAATAGTGGGCAGTGATGCAGGTAGGGCTCCTGTTTCGTGTCTAGGAGGCTCGGTTGGTAGTTGCATACTGTTAACTGAACGTGATGTGTGATAGGTTCAAGTCAAATAGTGGGCAGTGCAGGACTGTGTATCGTAAGATATATATGTTTTGCATATTAATCACACGATCAGAATATGTCGTATGGGCTATTAGTTATAAATTGAGAATTAACATTGATAATCGGGATCGATTTAGTAGCAGTGAGGGTTCTTTCGTCGAGTCTTTGAAAATAAAATTCACAAAGATCACAAGCTTTGTCGCTAAACCTAATATTTCTTCATTTCCTAACACACTATTTCAATCATAAAATTAAAGTATGCAAAAAAAAACAATTGCCATTCCTCCAGAGTCTCCAATCACCACCATAATCTTGCTAAAACTATCCACCTACACACGCGCATCTTGAGAAATGTTCGGTCCGCAAAGCATATTTTACATAATTCGGGCCCCAAACATCAGGGATCATTCTCTTTAAAGGAATCCTCGGCATACCAAGGCAACCGGTGGGTACTCGCGCGTATCCGGCGCTCCGCCCGCTCCAGTCCTATACCTATCCACAGATCTACGGTGCTGGGAGACGGGCACACGGCGCACACAGGCCAGGTGAAATATATATGCAGATGTGCATGTAAACGAGATTCGCCATGCGGAGCTTTACGTATGGCAAGGGATTACGATATATTGTACAGCTGAGATACGATGCTGGAACGCTTAGATAGCTCCCCCTATTGTTTGCGTGCTACCACTCCCTAGCTTTTGTGTCCCGCGGACCTCTTCTTTGGACCCCCTCGATTTCGGCAGCGCACCTTTCCGCGCAACGACTCGACCGGCGTTTGCCTGTTCTTCTCACCTTCGACCTCCTCGGCTCCATTTCCGAGTCCTTCCCCAGCCTCCCCCTAACTCTGCTCGACTTCCGAGCCGAGAGTTAATTCACGGCGCGGCGCATAATTCGGCGGCGGGGGCTCTCTGACGAAACCGGGAATGGTAAGTAGCTGTCGCACGGCCTGACGTGTGTGTGTGCGTTAATACAGAAGCCCAAATATCTTGCGGTTTTGCGGGGCCGCCTCTGATCTCGTCAGTCTGTGTGGATAGAGAGAACTCGCGCGCAAACCGGCGCGACGGAGTGCACCAGAGTCGATTTCGGTCCTCGAGGAGTCGCTCATGAATTTTGCACCCGCTACAGGTGATTTCGATGAAGGCGAAGGGTTCGTTATGAGGCTCGTGATCCTGGAAAATTCAAGCCGGGATTTCGGTTGTCTGTGACGCGGACGGAGAATACTGGAACACGGGGATGGAGAGATCAATAGGTTGTTCTTTGTACGTTCTAGGTGCGGTAAAAGGAGGTAATTCTAGAATGTTGAACTCTTCGAGTATATTTGACACTGTGGAGTCTCGAGCTAATCAAAATGAAATTAGAATATTTTAAATATTATTGTACATTTTGGAAACATTCTTTTTTCTGTTCTTGTTTAGATATCTTAGGGAAAGGTAGCTATTACATGCTCTTTTCAGTTACAGAATGGACATCGCAATATAAAGGTTATTTTGAACTGCATGCTGCAAGGGTCTTCAGTAAACTAAAATGAAATCAAAATATTTTATATATTACTGAACATTTAGGAGAACTTGTTTTTCTATTCTTTTTTTTAGACATTTAATGAAAAGACAGCTGCAGCATGTTCGTTTCATTTAGAAAAAGGACATCACAGTATAAAGGTTATTTTGAATTTTACGCTGAAAGGGTCTTCGTTTGATAGGCTTCCTTTATTTGATTGGGTCGCCGGCGTCCCCACAGCGTCGTTCTAGGATTAATTTGTTATTCAGATTGAAGTATTTCTGCTGGATTAGGTGTGTTGAGGGGGGAACATTGTACGAACTTCATTAAGTAATTGGGACTACAAAATGTGTGTTTGGATGGACAATGAAAACAAGTAGAAAACTAGACTCACTTGTAATTATAGCTCTATTTTAAATTGATATATTTTCTTTTTTACTATTTGAACGTACTAATGCAACTTATGCCTTAATTATCGTAAATTGTTTCGCTCTGAAATATCAGGAATTCAAATAGTATATATAATTTAAGAGGCTTTAAAATTGCGAGGCGTGTTATTCAATTTTTCATAAAAGGGTGAATTTTTATGTATTTTGATACGGTCTCTGTGTACATTGTCATTTCAGGTTAAATTACTGTATATTATAGTATAAAAAGTAACAGATCGTAAACGGCATTTATTACCCCTTTTTTTAGAAACCCTTCGTTCGAGAATGAACAGTTTACTGGGTTTATTAGTTACACGAACGAAGCCCTCCAGGATTCACGTGGGGTTAAGTGTAACGAGGTTAGGAAATCCCATATGTGGGGAAGTCTCATCGTGTTGACCCCGTTCCTCATATATTAACTTTAAAATTGAAGGGGACTGAAGAGACAAGTCCTTGACAAGATTTTGATCTTCCTGATCCTTTCCATCGTGCTTCTTCCCTGGTAGGGACCAGGGACAATTTATTTCCGTCATTTTCTGTCATACCCGACGTCTACCCGCTGTATTAAAAACCACCATGAATAGAAGGTATAAAATGGAATTATTAATTTTTCACAGCTTGGAGTGATTTAAACTTGAAAAATTGTCTAAAAAATCGAAGATCGTAGAAACAATGCATAAGACATTCTTACTAACTTTGAGACGTTGAATATTATTATGAACTCTACATTATAAATTTACGATTATGTTGTAGTTTGCACAGAAAATTCCGACGTTCACCGAACGACACGTGTATGATCGTAAAGGTCTCAAGGGTCGTTCATTAGAATGACGCCCTTTAACGTCGCGCTTTTCGATGGGCGATTTTATAGAAACCGGAACACCGATTTTACGATCTTGACCGGTATATTTAATGCGTACCGTAATAAAACGAGCATGGTGGCGTTCCCAACGCGGTATCTGAAATATTAACCGTGCTATGGGTTTTCGTTGAGTCACACTGAAGTATTTATGCGCGCTGGGAGGCGGTGGAGAAAGAAAAAGAAAATACACGATGAAATGTATCTTGGCGTTAAAGCTGACGTTGATGCACAGACAGAGGGATAAAGGGTCGCAAAAAGATTCAGCGGAGCTCACATTAGTGGGACAACGCATTCTCGGAAACAAGCCGCGAGTAAAAACACGGAAATTTAATGTCACGCGAGATAATTAAACATTTAAAAAAAAAAAGACTATAGAAACAAAAGGACCGGAGGAGGTTTCGTTTAGAACTTATCTTCCGCATGGTTGTTCATTTCCGTTGGAAATTTCCTTACCTGAAGTATTTTCACAAAAATTCCGCGCAACCGGAAATTTCTGAGCTCTGTACAAAGGTAAATTTCTGAGTTCTGTACAAACAGAAATTTCTTGCATTGAAACTGGTACTTACGTATAACAGGTTTAAGGTTCGTTCTATGATAGAGAGCCGCTTGACTTTCATTATAGTTACTTTTATAAACTAATTTAAACTTACAGATGATTGGCGTTCGCCTAACTTAATAAAAACTTTAATTAGTCGATCAAAGTTAAGGGTATTTCATTTCTTTTCAGTTTTTTTCTACCTACTTTCACGGAGTCGTGCAATTTTTTCCTTGCGTGTCACTGCGATGTGACCACCGTGAGATCTCGCGTTAACATATGGACATGGAAATTTGTCATTAACTATGCGTCGATCGGGATGTAACTAATGACATTGAGATTGTCTAGTTTACTGCGTCACGATATCGTTGCTAAACTAGATTTCATTACCGGTAAATCATAAATTATGGAATTAATTGGTGGCTAGAAAATATGCATCATACACATTTCTGATAAACCAGAGATTTGAGGCTTTCACGGCCTGGCATCATACAGTTCTCACTGTTGAGGCTTTCGAGTGTAAGCCGTGTCCTTGTGGAATTGTTTTCCCAACGTTTCACAAGTCTTGTGATGCTTCTCTAACATACTAATAAACATGTTTCTCTTTTTTTAACTATTCATGACCCTGGTTCTATACTTTTGGCCGGTAGTATACATCTCCCAGACCTTCAAGTGTACGCAACCCCTTCGCCCACAGAATTAATCCAAGTATACCGATACAATTGTCTCTTTTCCCAAGTATTCACCCTCTCGAATAACTTATCCCCAACCCCAGATCCGGTTCCCACCCTTATTCAAAACTGCCTTCGAAATTATTCTCACCCGGAAAGTCTTAATCGCGTTCCCTCCGCGATACTGCGTACCTAATGGCAACACGCGGCGGCAAACATGGCGTCGGAATGTATCTGGATCCGCCTGGGGACCTCTTCTCGCGGGCAAAAGTATCACGGGAAGAAGCGGCCAGGAAAAACTTTCCGCGAGACCGGCCAGGAGCACGGAAACTTTCGTCGAAATCCCCCACCGACGACTTTCCCAAAGCACCGTCACGATCGTGGTTTCGACCTTCTCCCCCTTTTTTTTTTCTTCCCTAGAGTGCCCATCCCTCCCACGGTTTCGTGGGCTTTCGGGAGCTTTTCGTGGAAAGTCACTCGAAAATCAGCCGCAACCGCCGGAACGCGCCTCCACGAACTCCCGCGGTCGCCGCCTCAGTTTCTCGCGCCCCCAAACCAACCCCCCTAAAACCTCCACCCCTTCTTTCTCTCGCCGTCGACCGCGTGGATTAAAGTATCGACGACACCAGCCACGTCTGAATAATTCAGGACGAAAGTTTTAACCGCGAAAGCTCGACGGGGTTCGACGTGAATCCCTGCCCGAGCACACCGCACGTACACTCACAATCTGAAAACGATCGAAATTCGCTTTGTGTTGCAGGCTTCGCGCTGATGAGGATCGTCGAGGTCTACAAGGAGATCCAGGAGCAGGAAATGAATATCGTGAGTACCCTCGCGCTGCGAGATTGTTTTTCAATTATCTTGACTGAACGATAAATTATCTGTGGTCGAATTTCCTGATTGGGAATTCGGTGAAAAAGAATCGGGATTTTGGTTTAGATTTTTTGTCGTGGTCTTGTGGTTTGGGGGTGAGAGAACTCGTTTGGGGAATGTTGGGTTTGTGCATGTAAAATGATACTTGGTCGCTCTAGTTCTTAATTGTTCTATCTTCGCTAGTTTCTAAACTCTGAAAACTGAGTTTCAAATCTACCAAGTTTCATATTACAGAAGCAGGGAAATCTGAAATAATCAAACACGCTAAAATATCATCTACGGAATAGGTATTTATTATAACAGTTAAGAATTTTATCTTATTATCAATATAAATTTTTAATTGTTGTTGGTATTTGGAGATGCAATTATTAAGAAAAGAAAACTTTCAAAGTTTTGGTGTCATCGATGATTTACTATACATAGTGTGGCTTTTACGTATGCTGAGGTGGGGTGTGGTTTCTGAAGTATATCAATCGGTCAATTACATTGCCATATGTAATAATTTTCAATTTACATTGACAATTGAACTTGGTTGCATAAATTCAGAAATTCCACAGAAGCAGTTCTTCAAACGAAGATTATAAATTAAAAACTAAACTTTTCTATAATTAATCACTCTCCAGTAAATCAACGATAGTTCACAAGTCTCCAAACCTAAACGCGATGATACGATAAACATTTAACGATAATTCTCCTCCATAAAAAAGCATCATTGAAATAAACCAGTCAGCGAAATTGGTCATTTCGTATGCAACAACTTAATATTTCGCTCAATTCTCCAGGCCGTTATAAATCCTCTCAGTGCTCCCACATTCTCCGCGATCTTCTCCCATGCAGATACACACACCCCGATAAATTGCATCGAGCACTGCAAGGGTCGGGGGCGGGTAAAATCAAACCTGAATACTTCATAAGAACGATCCACAGGAGGGTAGACATTCGTAACGAGCTTAGGATACCGAAGGTCTGGGGGGTGTCAAGGAGTGCCACGAATAAATCGTTCCGCGGCGGGCCGGTCGCGTTCGAATTATTTAAATAAACGACCGCCGCTGACGCAATTAAAAGTGGAGAAGATTTATGCCGGGTTCGCGGGCGAGAAGCCGAAATCCACAGGAACGGTGAATTCGGCACGGAACTTCCGACCCCGTCGGAATATTAATTGGAAAGTTAAAAGAGAGTTTTGGTCATTTAGCTCCTGTCTCTGTCTCGCTGGCCCTCTCTTTTCTCTAATCACTAACTTCGTTCCTCCCTTTATCTCAATCTCATTTCGCTTTCTGTCTTTCCATCGCGACCCCCTTTCGACGCACACGTATCCTCGTTTTCCAGGCAAGCCCCCGGTTCTTCTCTCTTTTTCTATCCCCGTCATCGTCTAGAAACACATGAAAATCTCTTTGATCCTTGCGCCACGACCCACGGCCGCCGCCTCGGGGGTGAGATTACACACTTGCAGACTCCTGTATCTTTTGAGGGTGGAAAATTCCGCTCCGACCGTAACGATATGTTATTACGATCTCGCCCAGCGGACTGCCCGCGATATGGACCGGCGTGTGCTTTCGAAATCATATCCCGCGAGGAATCGTCTGCACGAGAGTTTGGATCGGACACAGTGGAATTTGCGAGACGACTTTCGTCGGCGTGATGACACGCACAGCGGGGAAAAGACGCGGTTAGCGTGGAAATTTCATTTCGTTGAGCATTCGTTTCAGCTGGCTCTCGTCTAGTCTTGTGAAACCATTTTTAATTTTGTTGTTCTTTTTCTGTGCTCTTAAATCGAAGTTCGTTAGGTATTAAATGAATTGTACTTGCATAGTTTCCTTTTTAGATTAGTATGGTTCTTTTAGGAGTGGGTTTAATGAAAATATATGTATTTCTAGGTAAACCATAAAATAAAATTACATCGTATAGTTTAAAGTACAAGAGAATATAATTATTAGGTTGCGGATTTTATGAAATTATATCTTATGTGGCTCCGCGAAATACAATAAAATCTAAAACTTTCATCCGATGTAATGAGTTTCCTGTTTTAATCTGAATACAATGTGATAGTTAACACGAGAAATGCAGATGATAATAGCATATGTACTTTGATCGGTCGATAAACATGACGAACATTTGAAAATTAACAAAAATTTCCAGTTAAATAACTTCACTTTCATATCGTAACACAAGTTGCAAATGATTTAATGAAATGTATTGTTGTAACATTTTAATCGTCGTTATGAGAGTGTACTGACAGCTCACTTTCACTTGTTTGGTAATTCTGGGGTTGAGAGAAGAAATAAATTCCTACATTAACTCTTATGTGTATAAATTAATATAGAATTTAATGTATAATTTAGTTATGACCACTGTCATTTATGGATAAAAATCAAATATTGATAATTGAATTTTGTTTTACTAGAAGTGTAATTCTGTGAATCTTTTAGTATAAAAAATTATTTTAAAATATTACCATTTCATTCCAACAAAAACTGAGTATCTGCCAGATCTTGGCACTACCCTGTAAACATTATTAAATCATACAATACCTCCTATAGTCTTAACACCATCTCCCTCTAACAACAGCAAAGTATCCATCAAATTCTACAGCATCCGCCTAAAATTCACTGACACGGTCTATAATCTTCCAAAAACTCAATACCTCAGTTTACTCCCCATACGTTCTCCCCGTAAACCTCGATTCCATGTTCGAAATATTCAGCATAGCCTTCCCCTAAAAGTAACCAAGTATCTATCAAATCCTGCGCGCCAGAGTTTTGCCGCTTAACAACTGGAAGCGGAATCGGAACAATGACCGACGAAGAGATCGTGCGCCATCAACCTGTTCATCCCCTTTACACCACCACCGTTCACCGTCTCGTCCCTCCCACGGCCGGCAGAATATATGCCCGTCGCGTGATCCTGTTCTCCTTTATGGAGAATATTCCCAACAATGATCCCGGTCCATTATGAGCGATCCTTCGGCGGAGGGGTGGGACGGCAGACGTCGCCGGGAATCGTTTTCCGGTGGAACGTTAAAGCCTCGAAGATTGAGCCTCTTTGATCCTTTCACTCCCCTCCACTTCCCATCCTCTGGCAGCAATGTAGCTGGCAGTTTGCAACGGCGCTCGTCTTTCGACGCGAACGAAGAACAATGTTTCCGGCAATAAGAGGTGGCCGTTATTGCGCGACAGTTCTCGCGGAATTGCGGCCATCGCCGCGTGTAAACCCATACTTTTGCCCCCAGGGGCCACCCACAGACGTAAAAACTGACGGGCCAGCCGTTCCTCGATTCAACTGAACTAATTGTTTCTTACGTGACCGTAGTCGATAACTTCCGTTACCGGGAACCGGAAAGTAATTATTTGCTTCATCGATTTCAGACCGTTTCCTCCGAGCTTTTCTAGCACACCGTGGGCTGGAAGGGGGGGGAGGTTGAAGGTTATTGAATGATCTAGGGTTCGTTTCCTTCCACGGGACGGTGGTCTGAAGGGTAATATTACACTGTGATCGTTGGAGTACCAATTTTAGTGCGCTGGGCACGTGTAGAATGAGAAGACTGAATTAAATTTTTCTTGATTTTGTTCTTATGCTCTTGGAACGTTTAAATGACTGCGTTGGTTTCTATTATTAAGTGGTGTTTATATAACGTAGTTTTGAAGCTTCGAAGTTTGCATTAATTTTAAGATTTAATGCCTGTTTTCAAGGGTAAGTTTAGATATGAATTTAGTGACTAGAATTTGTAAAATATAATATAAAATTTGCATTTTTATAAATTGATTTTTATTCATTCGTCAGACACATCTTTTCTCGAAACATCGAGGCATTCTGAACGATGTATTCCAGCTATAGTTATGCGAGGGTTAACACTGTACCTCCTTGAGGGTTAATGCCTCCGTTAGTCGCATACATCTCTCAGATATACAGAGAGTACTACGCATCCCTCATCCAGGAAGACCCGTGACTAACTGAGAGTTAAAAAAGAATATATCACAGAAATATGCCCACAGTGGAGATAATAAGTATACTGCAGAGTTCATGCATTTCTAGCATCTTGTAAAATGCAATAAAGTGAACTCATTACTGAAGTTATGAACGTAGTGAAGTTTTCAGTGCAGAAACCAAAATGATGTCCCACTTTAATTTCTAGATACTAGTATTTGAAATCGTGAATTTGCATAAACTTGACAAGATTGCATCACAAGATAACTTTGCACATAATTGTTATTTCCGGTAATAATATGTTGGGCAAATAACCAATTCACTACATGTGCTCGCATATCACACATATCTTAGCTTCCAGAAGAGCAACCGAACTGTACCCCTGTCAAAAGTATCCGTTAATCTTACTGCAGTCTATTCTCTCCTCGTAACTGATCGAATTTCCCCGTCGTCTATACACGTCACACACACGTACACGTATTCTCCGTCTCGTACTTTGTCTCCACGTACCGTATGTACGTCTCGTGTCTGGCATTACCTTTTCTCCGAATCCTCGAGGAGCCCTCGACCCCGGGACCGTTTTCAGCTACGCCAGTGCGCCACGTATATTATGGGAAACGCATATCCGAAGCCATTCACGCACGAAAGGTCGTTGTCTCAGGCGAACGCGCATACAGCACTCCGTCAACCACCCCTTCCTTTTTCACCCGAGGTTCTTTCGTCTATCGCCTACCAACCCGCACGGCTCGCCATTCCCGGAGATTACGTCAGACCTCAGTCTCGCCAGGCGACATTCGTAAAGATGTCCTCTCGCGCCAGTCGACCCTCCGTTCTCTCGCACCTTAACTCGGAGAGCCACCCTGGCAAGCCTAATCGCGCGGAAATATACAGTGGAAGAACAATTTGGTCCGGCCGTTGAATCAGTTTTATGGGTTTAAAGGCGAACGACGCGACGGGGGGAATGGTTAAAGTAACGAGATCAGGGCTGCGGTTGGTTAAAGGTATCCAGAAGTGGTTGCATCCACGGA